CCCCAAAACCCCAAAACCCCAAAACCCCAAAACCCCGGGGATGTAGAATGTTATTGAAGATATATAGCAATAATTTTAGTAATTACTAATCTCGACCAAATTAGAATTTAGGAAGATTTGTTAAAATATCATGTTTGTTTCCTCTCAAATGAATTTTCAGTATCTTTCCTTTTCTCAACCAAATTTGCTATTGACATCTCTTCTTGATTTAAAGCCTCCTCAAAAGTTAAGTTTAAACTTGAGTTTCCATCAGAAAGACTCTCGTCAAGAAGATGTCTTCCATTTTCTCCATTCATATGGTTTACCTTATTCTTTTTTAAGAAAATAGATATTCTTGAAGCATAAGAAGATCTTCTCCTTCCTTCTAAAAGCACAAGCATATAATACTTGAAGTCAATATTTTCAGCAGTATATCACATTAGAAAGACCTCAAATAAAGAGTTCAGGAATGTACTTGCAGCTCTCATAATAAGAGTCTGAGTAGACACTTTCTCAAGTGACAATAGAAAAATAATCCAAATACTAAAAGAAAAATTATTCACAAAATTATATGCAGCATTTGCTGAAATAATGACAATTGTCGCAACTATAGTAAAAATAACACTCTTTTTCACTTTTATATAAGGATAGTACAAATTTCCTTTCATTAATTTCAGCATAAGCAATCCAATAACAACCTTCATCATTACTGCAAGAGCTCCAATTGAGAAAAGACCTATTGTGTAAAATCTGATTGCAAAATTGACTGATTCACATTGAGGAGGATCAAAAAGTTGAGGATCTATTGCAAATATCTCTGACTTATGACACCCATAAATGATTGAGGCTAGCATGATTCCGATCCAGGCTAAGATACATAAGATAGCAATAATAAGGACAATGATTCCTAAAGTTAGCTCTTCACGAAATACTTTAGCAAGAGTTTGATTCGTTAATCCACTCTTCATGTATTTCAAATGAAAGATAAAAGCTAGCCATCAAGCATTATTGATAACTTCAAAAAAGTAGAAGAAAAAGCTAGTGAGTGCTAAAATTGGAAGGTGGAAGAACTCCATATCTTGAAGCCTGAACAGTCATAACCAGCAATAGATATTCTTGGTAACCAGAGAGAAAACTATACATTGATAAATTGCCCAAAATTTTGCTTACTAATAAACCACATTTGAATGATCTTAAATCTGTCTCTGTATTCCTCCTGTTTGAAGATTAAAATTAAAAATTTTAAGAGAAGATACCACAATGTAGGATTTAAGGTTAGTTTCATAAAGCTTCTTTTCCTTTAGGAGATTTTCAAAAAATTCTCATTTTTTATATGGACTCACAAATTTGAAAAGTGCGTCCATCAACCAAAAGTTGTCAATAAAGTCCAAAATAGTATAAAATCCAAGAATTCCTCAAAATCAGCAACTATAATAATCCTTCCAACTAAAATTAGAACAGATCAATGATAAATAAAAATCTTCATTATTTTAAACATTAAATGCCAAATAAATTTATCAATTTTCTAAGCTATCAAAAGAAATCCTAGGTTTTCTATAATAGTCTCCCTAAAATGAACTGCTCTTCTCAATCACACCCAAGGGGGACTTACTGAGTATTCTTTCTTAAGTCTTCTGATTGCTACTGTGAACTATAAAGAGGTAAAGCCAGCTTTCATTAGGGGTTGAATAGCAAGACTAGAGTAAAATGGAACCTGTACGGAAAAGAAAAGGTATTAATAGTGGCAGAGATTCAGCTGGGTCCATGGAATATTAGCTGGAGTGAAGAAATGGGATAAAGAGTGAGAGAATGAGCATTTAATGTGTTTGTGAGTCTTTGATACTTTAGGCAGCTCACTTTATGTCATTAGTAGTAAGTTTGAGCATTTAGTTTAACAGTTTATATTTAATTTTGAGTTTAATGGTTACCATAACTACTGCAAAGATGATTTGAAATAGGAACAGGAAGATTATGTATGTAATTGGGATCTGATGGCTCCATGGATGAGGCTTTGTTCCTCTTTCCCATCCAAAAGGTTCGTAAAATACTCCATTTTCCATCTTCACAGGTCTAACTTTAATAAATTATTATTTCCACCCAAAATTCTCATTTCGGGGTTTTGGGGTTTTGGGGTTTTGGGGTTTTGGGG